TACCAGATTACTTTATGCAAAATTGGGCTGGATTGTCTAGGACGATACCCTGGACGATGTCCAAAACAAGTAATTCCTAAATAAATTTGGCGGCTGATTCTTTTTGTTTTGAGCCTATCATCCTGGCCGATACAAAATCGTCCAGGACGATGTGCTTAATGTTGCTAGCTTAATAAGGATGCCCTAGTTAGGGTTTCTATTTTTGAACCGATCGTCCAGGCCGATATAAATATCGTCCCGGATGATGTTACAAAAAATGGTAAACTCTAAATCAGAGAGAAAAAATTCCCAACTGTGTGTGTGCACGATTACAAATCAAGCAATCACCCCTAAAGGGCATGACTCAAGAAATAAAGAATTACATCAGTGAGAATTACAAGTAAAATTATTTTCCCAAATCTTGAGCCGGTTCCAATTGCAGTCTGATCTTATGGACCTGAGATGTCAGTAGGCAAGGCAGTCGTAGAGAAACAAGAGTGTTTGCTATCATCAAAATCATAATCCATGAAATCATATTCACAACAGATCGTACTGTATAAATTATTTAAATCAGTAATCCTAGCTTCCAATCAAATTTATGTAAGTATTCAATTTTTTTTTAATTTTGAACTGATCGTACAATATGAGTTGGTTTATACATGATGATATTAAAAATCTTACTTAATTTAGTCTCCATGATTAGTCAATAAAATCAAGGTTTAATTAATTTGGTCGATCATACTATACAATATTGATCGTACTGTACGATAGACTGGATGAAAAGCATTTATCTTAGTGATCATCCTGGATGAAATCTTGATTTGTTAACTAATCGTATAGTATGATGTCAATTATACATAATGATGGGTCGAGACAAATTTCAATCATCACGGTATTCGTCTTGTATGATATCATGATAATTGAATGAATCATACTGTATGATCAGCATATAGATTTTGAATACTTCATCATGGGACTGTTTCATTGTACTGGTGATATTTGATTTTTGAATTAACCATACTATGCAATTAGTTTCATCTGAATTAAAATTTTAGGGATTTTTAAGACCTTCTATAAAATTATTTTATTAATACTTTCTATGTTTGAGACTTTACCTGTTGAAGGTATTATGGGGGAGAGCTTAGAGAAATCTTGGAGAGTGGAGAATAAGAAGGTGAGGTTTGTAAGAGGGATAAGTAGTTTTGGGGTTTCACATAGTCGCTCCAATCAAGCTTGCACCTTGATTCCTCCACAGGGCTGAGGTTAGTCTAAGGTTCTCTGCCTTCACCAAGAGGGTGAAAAGGATTGCAATGTATTCTGCCTTCAGTAGGAGGGTGAAAACTCTTTGAGGTTCACTGCCTTGACCAGGAGGATGAAAAGAGCTTCCAAGGTTTTTTATCTCACCAGGAAGATGAAAAAGGTTCTAGTTCTCCGTCGCACTGAGTTGGTGGAACTAGTTCTTGAAAGGGTTTCTCCACCTTATTATGGGGACTAAAGGAGAGACATTAAGAGTATTGCAATATCTGGAGTGGACTCCGTGTAGTGGAAGTAGTTCATTGTTTAACCGAACCATTATAAAATTCTTGTGTGATCATTTTAGTTTTAATTTTTTGTATTTTACTTTTCTGGGATTTATTTTCCCAAAAATTGCATTTTAAATTTTTGTGGTTAATGTTATATTGATTTGATTAAATTATAATCATCATTACTATAATTATTGTTTAGTTAATTTGATTCAGCATTGGAAGTTAAATTTGTATATTTTAAGTTATTGAAAATTTTTGAAACGATCATTTTAAGTTAAAGGAATTTTTAAATAACTAATTCACCTCCACCCCCACCCGCGCGCGCATCTTGCTGTGCCTAGGGGCAATTCAATGAGGCTTAACACCCTCCATTGAACTTTTAATATTAAAATTACTTATATATGGATCATATATGATCAGATCCAATTTCTAACAGCCACCTTTGGAAGATACTTGTTCTATCTCTCTAGACTCTACTCTTATTTTTTAATTCCCTTTATAGCAAATTGTTGTAATTTTTACCATGCTCGGTAATGGAATTGTACATTTCTAAACTACTAGTGAACTAACTTTTCAACATGTTAAAAAAATAGATTACATATATAGAAAAGTTATGTTATGTTTCATATTTTCTTTGCTTAATTTAATTGTGTAGTTGCGCACTCACTTTTTAAAATCAATTGTGATTTATGCCCTCGATGGAGGCTGTTAAACCACATTGGCTTTCGGCTCATCCACTCCACGCTCCAAGCTTTTGGCTGTGCTCACAGGGAACGTTTGGCCCGCTGCACTCATGAAGCATTTAACCACTTACTCACATAATTACATATCTTTAAAAGCACCTGTCCACTGTTACAAGATGTCTCCTCTTAAGCTTATATATACCCTGTAAACAGTACCAGGAATTAAGGAAGCTTCATAACTAAAGTTCATCTTCAGTTCTTTCTCTGCCTGTACCATATTCTTATATGGTATCAGAGCCTAAAACTCCTCACGGCAACATCCCGCCATGGCAGACTCGGGAAGCACATCCGACAATGTTCAGGCCAGGTTCCCGCATCAAAGTCCGATGATCATCGAGACCACCATTCCGCCCGCCCTGAAGTTCCTGATTTCTAACCTCAAAAACATCATTCACATTCACCTCAGCTCCGACAACTACCCCATCTCGAGGCTTCAAACTCTCAAAATCTTCTCAGCCAATCGATTCGACGGCCATCTCACCGGCACCTCAAAATGCCCACCGGAATACATTCCCTCCACCGCCTCAGGCATCATCCTGAACCATCTGTATGCTTCCTGGTCGTTTCTCGACCAAAACCTTGCATCAGCTCTATGCTCCACCATTACAGCCCCCATACTACCATACATTCTCAATCTCTCAACCTGTCACGAGATTTGGCTCACACTCGAGAAGCGCCTTCTGCCCTCCAACCGCAGCCGCGTCATCCAACTCAAAAACGAGCTGTACAACGTCTCCATGAAAGACCTCTACATGTCTCAATACCTTAACCACATCAAAACAATAGTAGACAACATCTCTGCTGCAGGCTCTGCAATCGATCAAGAAGATATCATCTTCTACATACTCAATGGCTTATTACCATCCTACTAGTCCTTCAAAACAGCCATACGAACCAGATCTGAGCCCATTAGCCTTGATGAACTCTATTCTCTCCTATGCAGTGAAGAAATCAACTTAATGATAGAGCATCTCAAGCTAACATCGGCAGATACACCAACTGTGGCATACATAGCAACAAGAGGTCGCAACTCCTCCTATCGCGACCGCGGCGGAAGCTACAGAGGGAGGTGTGTGAGCTGGGTGATCGGGTAGTTGAGCAGTGGGTGAAGGTGGAGTTTGTATGGATGTGGGAGTAAGGAGTAGTGGTGATACCGAGGTAGAGTTGGGTTTGCTGAGTTGTGTAGTTGAAGTTTTGGCATAGGGAAATTGATCTGTTGTTTGTATTGGAATTGCAATGAACATTTTATTTTTGTATGAAAACTAAGTTCACTCAACACTATTATGATTTTGTTTGAAACAATTTTTTTAGTGCTTTCTAAAGCAACTTTTTACTATTAAATTTCTAGTTGAAAATATTTTTGTGCTGAAAAAATTATTTTAAAAAATAGTAAAAAATATTATTATAAACAAAGCCTAAAAATATAGTTCAGTATCAATTTTTGTGAAATTGAGTAAATTTATGATTTTGAGCCATTGTTTTATGATGAGATGATGTACATAAAAATATTTTATAATTGTATGTTGAACAAATTTAAAAGCAGCAAATTAATGGTTGTTCTGTATAAAATTCAAATCGTATGACGATGGAATCTGATCACAAATATTGGTCTTTGTACGCATAATTTGCGAAGATATTGGCGTAGGCTTGTTGCAATTGAAAGTTGTTACAAAATTTGGAAGAGATTTGATTTGCTTCCGTATTTTTATGACTTAATGTGATAATAAAAATATGAGACCATTTTCAAGGATCATTGTTAGGACAAGGCAAATGGTCTCAAACAGCCAGATGTGACAAACTTTTCACGAAAATGCAATGGAATGAGCCATCGAAAATCAGTAGTAAATTAGTAATGCAGTTAAAGTAATTGAAAATATTTGGGGGCAATTTTCTTGATACAGTTATTGTATAAAACGAAATTAACTGTAAACTTAAAAAAATGCATATAACTAGTTTAAGTCCCTGTTTTAAGCCGCAATTGGAGCTAAAGTGGCCCAAACTAGACACCACTTAGGGTGCATTTGGAACAGTGACAGCTGTCGGTAAAGCAGGTTATGAAATTGTTGTACAAAAAGTTGCGTTTTGAAATTGCTGTATAGAAACCAGTGCATTTTGTTTGGGCAGTATAAGTGTCAAGTTGTTGTGTTGCAGCTATATATAAATAAATTACATTTATACCCTCATATGTATTAAGATGAATAAATTTTATTCAAATATAATTTCTATTCAAAATTTGATGTTAACAAACTAACACTTCTGAATTAAAATCAAATTATTTTATAAAATATTTTATAAGTTTATATATATAAATACTATAAATTTTTATTGACATTGTTCTTATCATACTTCGAAATAATTTGTTAAAATTTTGGACTCTCCAATATTACTTTATACTAAAAAAAAATGTCTCGTCATAATACAAATATGTTCTGATTTATATTTTTTGAAAAAATATATCAACAAATTTCTTGAAGAGACAATTTTTAGTTTATTCTATAAATATAACAAATCTCAATATCATAAATATGATATGAACAATCAAAAAAATATTTGCAAACAATTATGCTAAGCTAAATTCTCATCTGTATCAAAAAAATTTACAACTCAACAAATTTCTTTGCTCAACAGGATATTCAGATAATCATTTTTAGTTAAAAAAATAGTTCATTTCATGTCCTTTTATCATTTGTTATTGCTATAAAAATCAAATCATTCTTTAATTAATAAGTTAAATGTAAGCCCTCCAACAAAGTCAATAAACTGCAATACTTTTTCCCTTTCTTACTTTCAATAGAAAGTGATTCTGCAACAAATTCTTAAGACACCTAAAGTGAAAAAAAAAATCAACAAAAGATTCACAAAATTAATCAAATAAAACTTAACATACTTTCAAGCATAAAAAACTTTCTAATTCATCTCATCCATCAATGCATCTGTGATTTTCTCTCTTAAATGGACCATCTCCTCTGCTCCTTCACCATCTCGTACCTCCTAATTAAAATCATTCCCTTCAGTCTCTACTACTGATTGTCCAATTCTATACTCATATGCCTCCTCTGGTATATATGTTCCGTCGGCATCACATATATTAAAATCAGGGTCTTCCCGACTAGAATGTCGACGTATGTAATTATGCAATGCCATTGTTGATATCACTAGTTTTATTTGTTTTTTGAATGAATATGTAGGCATATCTCGTAATATGACCCACTTCTTCTTCCAAACACCAAATGATCTCTCAATTACACCTCTTAAAGAAGAGTGTCGCTTCTTAAGAGTTTCTTGCCTCCCACGTACTAATTGGCTTCCTCTTTCAAAATCAGGTATATGATATTTGGTATCTGAAAATGGCTTCAAAAATCACCGTTGCATCGGATAACCAGCATCGACAATATAATATTTTCCTGTTATGAAGTACATGTACTTTAGTATAAGTTCTACTACTACTAACGTTACAACTATATAGAACGTACCAGGAGGTGGCAAGAAAAAGTTATTGAGCCTATTACGAGCTGCAAATTTAAAAATGCGACTGTCATGTGCACTTCCTTCCCATCCTGCCATTATAAAAGTGAAGCACATGTTGAAATCACATACAACCATAATATTTTACGTCGTTGACCCACATTTTCCTATATAAGCCGCTTTCTCAGCATTCGAAACACGAGCATCCATATGTGTTCCATCGATTGCTCCAACACAGTCCTATTTAAGAAGTGATGATTAGGTATTATATTCATTTAAACAATTCATATAATATGATAATTTAAAATTTTACCTTGAAATACGGCATATATCGATTATCATACAAAATATTCATTGGGATATCACCAAAAACAGGATCGATAGGCTTGATCACAGAACATGAAAATTTCACCAAAGCCTCCAATCCAATAGAGAAATACCTACTGATTGTCTCAGTAGAGTGTTGAAACCGCTCACATGTGGACCTTATTGATTCATTATGCGATAAAATATATAAAGTCATTGCAAGTACTTCTGTGCTTTTTGTCCTTCATGATCCATGGAGATGATGAACACATTCTAATTTATACAATAGATCTAAAAAAATTGTTTGAGACATACGAAACATATTATGAAACCTCATTGGATGACCTTGTAGTAGCTCTCAAATCCATTTGTCTCCTCTAGATGATTATGTCATACACGGTGTCTTGCAAATATATGTTTCATAATACTCATTTATAACACATATTGCTGCAAGTATAATCTTTTTAATATTTGCAATATCATCTGACTCAAATTCTCATTACATTCCATTCCTGCATATAGGTAGTAATAAGTATTAATAGATTATTTCTATAAACAAGTATTATGCTCTCTAAAATAGATCATAGCTTGTAGCAAAATAAAATATACAGAAATAACCTAGGTGAACTAAGCATTACCATTAATACTAGATCATAGATGAAGAATTACACTAAAAGCAGATAAAATATAAACCAAATAATACATAAACAAAAATATAAATACAGAAACTAAAATCAGCAATCAATATTTGTAATATATATAAATTGGTGTGCTCAACAAGTACATGACTGTGTGCTACGATACTTCACACATAGAGCTACAACATGTTGTACACATGTAATAATTCCTCTTTTCAAATGGGACATCTTGCTAGTGCGCAACTTTGCAAATATTAAAATTCCAAGCAAATAGCTAAGTGGGTATAAAAGTATTTGATTCCATGTATATTTAGTCACTAGAATTTTGGTCGTGATTAGCTTGACGGAGGAATCTTCAGAGGTTTCAAACGGGTAATTTATTTTTGAAGCCAAACATTTGAGTTTTTTAGCAGTGAAAAATTTTCATCAGTCACTCCAATTGATTCTGATGATAACTTTTGATATACTCTCAGATTTAAGCCTTAGCTAGAAATGCTTTTGATAATACAAATTGGTTCTAGAATTAGATCTATTTTCTTTAGTATTTGGTAATGTTTTGAAGAGTGTGTTTATATCTGCAAATAGCGAAAAAGGTTTTCACAAGTTCACTTTTAGATCTTATTATACACAGGATCTCCAGGTGGAGTTTGCCAAGATCTAACAGTTAGCCTGGTGAGGTGAAAATTGCGGAAAGTTTAGAGGCATCAACAACTAAGCTTGCATTGAATAGGTCTAAAACTGAGAGAAGAAAGCAAAATGTTTGGCGTACAGACCCTGCAGCACAGCTATTTGATGATAAAACTTCAGATAAATATTTCCCTGCAGCACAGCAAGCAGTCGATATATTACTCACTCTAGTCGATAAGGTTGCATTTGTCGATGACAGGCATGCACATATCATCATACCAAATTAATCAAGTTGGATAGAATGCACTAAGTATAAGTGTGGTCAACTTGGCTAAACTCAAATTAGGCATAATACGTTTGAAAGGATACCATATAAAAACTAGTTTCAAAGCAGACTTGAGAGGATTTGATTGACACAATTATCTACATGCTAAAAAGTTATCCCCATTATACAAGGCGTGTCCAACAATTTCAGGAGAATACCTCCTTTGTAAGAAAACATCATTGATATGAAATCTAAAAGGTGATGCAATGCATAAAAATTAAATATGAAATATGTGGCATCTATCTACACTGAAAGGGTGCAATCACATATCAACTTTGAATTATCAATACACGTGCTAAAGTATATGCTTCTGATCACAATTACCAAAAAAAACATCACCAAATCTCATATAACTCAGAATAGTCTGCAAAAGTATTCATATGGGAACTAAAATGATCCCAATACTGAATAATGAAAAAAAAGATATAACAAAATGTTCAATTGTTCTAGTAAAAAGGACATTACAAACTGTTAAAAACAACATAATCAAAATACAAAACTAATGTATAAAACACATTAACTAAACCACTGTTTTTTTAGAAAAACATAAATATCTATGAAACTATGATGTTGTATCATGATTTCCGTAGTAGTATCGAAGATAAAGAACTCGTCAATCAGGGCAAATTGACATAAAAATTGCTCGCTTCGTTGGATCCTCGAGAAGCTTCGTGGAGAACAAATATGGTTACATGTCTTCAAATACTTCAGTCGTTTGTTCAAGCACTTTAATGGCCTCAGAAATGGAGGATTTCTCGAGTTTTGACTTTGTTGCATTAATTTATGAGGTAATATTGGTACAAGAATTGACAAGTTGAGTAATTTGACTTCTTAGAAATATTGAACCAAAGATTTTCTTCCTTCTACCGATTGACGTTGTAGATGAAGGACGTTTCAATTGGCTACAGTCATTAATGCTTTTAAGATTTTGTGAAGGATCTTCAAAAGACTCAGAACCTATATCAATGTGTTTAGAATCTTCAATAACATTTTCATTGTGAAGTCCCTGGTTTGGAGTCCAAGCATGATTACCGGTAGCAACAACACCTAGGAATATAAGATCAAGCTTATCTTCTAGTTCAGGATCAATGCCGCAGTATCTAAATTTTTTTGCATTTGGCACAACCTATAAGGAAAAAATTTATTTCAAAAAAGTAAAAAAGTATAATATGAAGGCTGGAAAAGACAAATATATGTAAAAGAATATTTACCTCTAATTTCTCTTTCCACCATTCATCAGGCGCGTCAATGGTTTTTTTTCTAGGATCCCAACAAAGTCCAGTGGATCACGCTTCAATTCTTTCCATAATTTCCAATTATTTTTTAACTGATCCCAGTTTTTTTAACTGAACTTTTTCATAATCTCTTCTAGTTTTTTTTCAAAAAAATTCTTAATTAAATTCATCCAACCCTCTTTATTGAAGTGTGTAGTTAGTCGATTGTCAAGTTCAATCTTTCTTAGACATAAATCACATAAAATAATCTTCACATCTTTCTCCCATGTTGTGGAAGATCCGCCATCTTTTGGTTTACCCATTGAATTTCTTAATTGCTGTATTATAAATTAACAAATTATAATAGGAGGAAATATGCAAAGCTATATAATTGATTATTGTAGCTAGTAATTAAAAAAATAAGAGACATCTTGCATCTAAATTTATTTAAAAAAATTAAAATATAAAACAAATTTAAATTTGCGTCTGTCATGTGCACTACCCTCTCATTGTCAGAGTTAAAAGAACTTTAATAACTAATGCATTACTCAACTGTTTAATATTCTATAATTCAGATTCTAAATCAAATTTAAAAATATTACTATTTATGGAGAAAGAGATGAAACCCTCCAATGATTCAACTTGAAAATGTTTTGGATTTTTCCAAGCATTTTGAGAAGGAATAGGAATATGATTATCTATTGAAGTGGCAGTCTTCTCGTTAATAGCTACAGAATTCGCGTTTAAAGGATCTTCAGGGACAATTTATTGAACAGTAGTAATGCAACATTCATCAAGATTTTTGAAACGATTCATTCAATTAACGTTTTTGAGAACATTAGTAGAATTCACTATTGCACGTATTGATAGATTAGCAGAATTTCTAGATTTAGAGAAAGGATCAAGTAGCATGAATTGTGGTTGCAGAAGAAGAAGGGACAGAATCTTCAAAAATTTGAACTCTTTAACAAAATCAACAGGATTTTTAGCAGAAATAACCTCCTTTCCATTGGAAAAATTACAAAAGACTTTCAACATAGAACAATTAGGATCATTAGAATATCCACTTTCCATAATTTTGATACTACCATAATTCTTAAAAATGGAATTGCTGCTAGCAACTCTATAAATAAGGATTCTTCTAGGAAGACCTCTTATGCTGTGCATGCTACTATTTGTGTTTCTATACCCATTGGTGGAGTAGAAAAGGAAAATCAAACTGAAGACAATAAGAATGATACAATCAACTCTTTTGAGTTAAACTTAAAATTTTTAAAACGAACATAAATTTTGGTGACCTTCACAATTTAACATAAATCTAACAACTAAAAGAAAACCCCTTTTAAAAAAAAAAAATTCCATGTGAAAGGGCAAAAGAATGGTTACCTCATAGTGAGCAAACTCCCTTGCTTAACTTCCAATCTGACATGCAGGAACTTGTCGAGAGTGGCAGAGACGACCTCCTAGGGCTTCGAGTAAGATAGGTAAAGGAAGAAAGAAAGGCTACCTTCACTGCAAGCAACCTCCTATCATCGGTCTTGGTTCATTTGAGTCACAGTGAGCGAACTCCCGTTTTGCTAAACTTCCTATCCAACAAGAAAAACGTTGTCGAGGGTGGCGGAGACGAGTGCCTAAGGCTTGGGAGTTGACAGCTACAAGGAAGGAAGAAAGCCAACCTTCGCGGCAAATAAGCTCCTATCATCGAATGCCGAGCGAGCGAAGTGAGATGAGACGGAAGTGGAGTGGCCTAGTATAGAGGAACTTTGCGAGGCAGTAAAGGCATTAACATATTTATCATATCTACGAACAGCGGGAAGCAGGCAAATTGCAGGAGGCTTCTTTCGGACGTGAGAAGCAACCACAGGTCGTGAAATTGTCGAGAACAGAGCATAATCAGGCCATCCCAAACCACCTCTCGGTTGTGTTTGGTAAAGTACAACAACAAAAAATCCATCCGAAACACACCCTTAAACTGGTGATTGGACCGCACCTCATATTAAGCTCGTTCCCCCTGTTGCTTTCCTCATCCAACTCCTTCTCATATTTGTCTCTTGTCATTCTTCTTTCTTATCCTAGCTGCATTACTCGGCCGACCTAAAGCCTCCGTTGCCGGATTTGGCCCAAGCCAAAGGAAAATTTGCTTTTTTTTTTTCCAGCATTTTGACGGCTGAGCAGGTATTTATTTTAAGCAAAATGAAATGTCTACCGAAAAATGTAGATCTAGGGTTTCTAATTTTTTTTTAAGAGATGTAGATATGAAAATGCTTTATGGTGTCCAATGCTGACCATTAAAAGAGAAACATAATACTTAGTTAAGTGTTGTAGAGATCGAAATGCCTAAACCCTAAACCATTAGTTACACTTCCATCTAGCAGTCCTCTTACTTACCTACACTCACTTCCGATTAGAAGCTCCGGCGGAGGATTTCTCAAGGTGATACCGTCGATTCCTCACTGTGACATGATGCTCCGGCAGTCTCTTCTACCTTGTAATGCATAACACCAACGGCTTCCTCCCTCTCGCGAGTCCAGGCGCCTGAGGCAGAAGAAGGCCTACGTTAAATCACGAGCGGTAAAAATGTTTAAAGGCCAACTATAGTTGGGAATGGGGACTGGAGGGAACTGAGGCCCAAGCCCTAACCTTGTATGTCCTCCTCCAACAATGGCGCAATCTCCTTCCACTACTTGTGATTTTCACTCTTCTCCCAT